ATCTTATACCTTGTATTTTTCACACAATCACTTTTATATACATTTTTTACTTTTCAGTTCAAAATCTTGGTTGCTTAGACTGCAGTCATATATAATTTAGTTTTTAGTTTTTTTAATAGATTTCAATAAACCTTGAAAATACAAAACACTATTGTGAAAGAACAATTTTCAAAACTACATGTCAAAATTGCATGCTAAAAATACATGTAAAAATACATTATACAATAAAACCATTTTTGCAATAATATAAAAAAGAAATATTGTAATAAATATTCTAAATGGCCTAAAATAAAAATACTATACTAGCAAATACTTGTATTATGCTAAAACATTACTACTAAAAGAAATACAAGTACCACATTTAATTATTCAATATTATTCCAAGTGCCTAAAGCAATTATTTAACTGGCAATTAAAGCTAGGCTCCAGAGGAAAAAAACATCTTGATATGTTGTACAACTGGTTTCTCTAGGACACAAAAAGGGTGTTTCACCCCTTCCCACCCACTCCCCATCCCCCAATTTTTAAGTATTCAAAAATCTGTATCTCATTAACCATTCTTGAGTTTTTCCATCAAATATGCTTTTTGTCTTACGTTCAACACATCAATTTTTTTACCTCTGGAGTCTGGAACAAATTATGATGCTGAATAATATATTTAGATACCATATTTTGCTGGCTAATTCCCCCTCACATATTCATCGCACCCCCGCCCCTGTTCAAATTAATGCCTCCATCAGCCCCTCCCCCATTTTAAGACTTCTAGCTACACCACAGCAGTCATGTGACCTATGGTGGGACAAATTGTATGTCGACACACCAAGCAATTAACACTCAGAATAAAAAAATGCACAGCTTCTTCATGAGAGTTTCTGAGGCTGCACTGGTTGCACGTTGGTTAGAATACCTATAAATTACCATATTGACCCACAATGGTTTGCTTTTAAATGCTCCAAAGTATATAGAGTTATGCCTATGACTCTATAAAGTATTATTAATATAGTATTAGGTGCTGTTTTCTCCCCAAACTTTTAGTGGGACACACTCATATAAATCAATGTCAGATTTAATATTATTGTATAGTATTACAATTGTTATTTGTTTTAGTGTACTTTTTGTACTTTTTCTTAAATTTCAAGTTTGTAAATGTATGTGTTTTGGTATAGTGGTAATGGTTTGTTTTCCTTAACCTTAATGCCAGGGTTTTAATCCCTCACTATGCACCAATATGGTAGAACACTTAAGTATGAGGACCAAATGAAAGCGCTTTGTAACCAAAATGAAAGTTGATGTATAAAAAGCTCAATAACAATATGAAGATGAGAAAAACATATCTTTATATATAAATAGTATTACATAAAACAGCTTAATAATGCTATTCTAATACTTGATGAATTCTTCAAATACAATTCAATGAAGTGAAACCAAGTACATGTTTAAGTGTAGGCAATCAAGAAGATACACCGTACTTAATAACACCACCACACCGTACTTAATATTGTCAACAACCACGACAAAGAATAACAGCACAGATGGCAAATTTAAAATTTCCTGTTTTAACTGCGAAATTATAATAATGCGGTGAAAATTTTAATCCATTAAATGACATGGCAAAAACTTCCTATGTAACAATATATAACTGTAAAATAAAAATATTAATCAATAATAAAAAGTTTTCAAATCAATTTAATAATTTTATTCATATTAGTTTTAATGCTGACGGTATTTTATCAGTATTATCAAATATAAATTAACTATATCTAACCAAAAAAATATTACTGTACATTTTTTTTCTTTAATATCATCACCTTTATTATTTGAGTGTATACTACTTGGCTTCATAGCTCAGTTGGAAGAGCATCCTAATGGTAATTGGAAGATCTTGGGTTTGAATCCTGATGGGGAAGTATTTATCATCATCTATAATTAATATTTGTGTTCACACTCTCATACAACAAATTATCAATAGTATTATAACATTATATTTCCATTTTTTTTTTTTTTGGTTTCATGAATAATAATTACCATAGTATAAATTATTAATCAGTATCATAATTCTTATCCCTTCTTCAATATTAAAATACTGTACAACTTACAATGGATATTTATTGTAACTCATCAAAAAGATTTAGTTTCAATCATTTCATAAAAAATGCAAGTATTATTATTAAAGGAAACATTGAAAATTATTACCGCAATGAATTTTTTTTTTTTTTATTATTTCATTGTAAACGTGGCTAATTTCTTGTACGAGCGTAGCTCATGTACTGGTCTCT